AAAAGTTAGTACGACTGCATTTCATATAAATGATGGTAAAAATTGCCAGCAAAGGTACCTTTGACTCCATGAATATTAAAGATGCGTGTGAAGTCAAAAGTTCTAAAACCGATATTCTCATGCTTGAAGAAGAATCCAGAAATATAATTGAACATTATTATCTATTTTATCGTTGTATTTCAACAAATACTCTTTGTAACATTCCATTCAATTATATACTGCCACAACCTGTCGTGTAGTTGACAACAAGGAAAATAGGGGTGCCACTTGCTGATTTAGGTGGTTATAAAGTAATTTACATAAAATAGTGGTCGTTTTTCTTTGCGGGTCACGACTCTACCCCAAGGCGACAATATTCGTACTTAAGTTTCTAAACTCACAAAGCGCGGGCGATTGTCTCAGCACTACTGAGATTGGCTTTATCCAAGTAAGTTAGGTAATTTTTCTTGCGAGATAATGGTTTATTTAATTAGCTCGTATTGAATTCTCAGTGTAATTCAATTTTGTGTAGGTCCCTTAAAATTTTATTAACAAAGGCGATATTCTTACATTGAAGTATCCGAAAAAATAGCATCACAATCGAAAACTAGCCATCCATTACTCCGACCCAGGTGTGCACAATACTAGTTCCCTGAAACTCTCTGTCGACTGTTTATTTATCTCCGAGAGTTGCCAACGTTCGGAGAATTTCTCCATCACTGAAGTGCGCCGTGAATCAAACGTCCTTGAGACGCTTCGCTCGCTCAACCCTTCTGTGATCCCGACCCACGGCAGGGTTTTCATTCGCTCCATTCCAATGAAAGGCTTTCACGGGTAGTAGCACAGAGCCCACGAAACAGTTTCAACAGCGCGGAGGCTCAGAAATACGAGATGTCGAAAGATAAGAGATAAAGGCAAGAGAAAGAGATCGAAATGATGTGGAAAATAACTTGAAAGGAAAAGAGAAAAAAGTGAGAATGGAACATTATTACTCTCTTTTATCTTGCAGTCTAAAATTGATTATATTTAGTGTTTTCACCTAACGCAAATATACTGTGTTCCGTGAATTAATTTACACATCGCCGTAAAAAGCGATGTAAAATATTTGCTTTCCTTCTACAGCACCGATTTATAATTACAAATACTGCGTAAAAAGTATTCTTTAAGTAATACCGTAGTACTTGACGTTTTATATCTCAATATCTGTGATTTTCTATGTTAGAAAATTGTAAATGTCAATCTTGATACAAGGATGAGTTTGGAATTTTACATTATTGTAGAATAGAGTCTTTCGCAAATAAATTATGGATATTCCAAAATATGTTCATATTAATTAACTCTGCATTTACTACTCATAACCAAATATATGAATATAGAATATCAACGTGCAAAGTAGCGTGACTCTGCATTCCTTCTCTGAGTAAACAAATGCTAAATCAAAAACCAGCTTTAAAATCAATAATTAAATAATTTTCATGGTCGAATAATACTAATGAAATAAACTGACGTCCAAAAATTGAATCAAAGCTTTTTGTTAATGAGGAAATATGCGCTGTAAATTTTATAACTCTCAATGGAATGCCAATAATGTGAACTAAAGTTAATTAATCTCTAACATTAAGCCATCGTCGTTTCCATTCATTTGAGAAAATCCTTTCTGATTATGGAAAATGCTGCATTACATGAAGTCAATGAGCTCAATGACTTCATTACATGAAGTCAAAAAGCTCATTCTATGCTTCAAGCACTATCATGCACAAGCTATGATCTTGGATGGTCAGACGAAGAAAATATTCCCATTTATTTGTGGCTTACTTTCTGCAGCAACTTTCATTTGTATTTATTTATCTTTTGTTATTTTTCTCTGGACAAACTCCAAGTTTTCCACTGTGAGCAAAACCTCCCTTCACGATTTACCACGAAAATAGAAAGGAATTGAATAAAAGTAAAAGGAAGATTCGTATCTAATCGTAAGAAGATTCGAACTTGTAGCAACTTTTTAATAGGCCCCATTTTTATAAAGAGATGTTGGAAAGGAGTCCACAACATTTAATTTACATTTAATCCACAACATTTTTCATCAACACTATGTTTATCAAGTTTTATCTTTAGTTTCCTCCTATATGTTCATTTTTAATGAAGAGGTGAAATATAATATTTAAATAATAAAAGTTATATTTGCGATAGCTTTCCTAGACTACTGTGTTTCTGGGAGTTGTGTGAAGCAGCAACATTTTTCTGTCAGACTGTTGTTGTGCGCCCAAAATTTCCGGGCCTCCACAAGGCAAGCCCTATGAACACGTTACTGTTGTAAAAGATATATTTAAAGAAAATAATAAAATATATAATAAAAATTTGTATTTGAATGTGTATATTTCCTTTGTTATGCCACATGTAGCCAAATGAATGCACAACCCTCACAGCACTTAAATATTTTCATTTGTCGTAATTAATCTGTACTTACCGATGATTAGCTTTATCAGTCTATATTCTATTGTAACGTGGAAGAAATAGTTTCAGATGTACAGTGTCTGTAAAAGCTAATTGAGGAAAATAAAGTAAAGTGAGCAAGAAATAGATAAGGTAGATTTTTTAAAAACGCTCAGTAAATGCCTAGAAGACAAATACGTCTTGAAATATATTCACTGTATTTTATGCCATACCGTTTACAATTAATATTCATTCAAATTTTCTGTTTTATTAATTTATGCATTGGATCGTTTCTCTTTTCTCTTAATTTGTAATACAATAATTTGAATTTGATAGCATATAATTTTTATGAATTTAAAAGAAGAGTCCTAAATTAGGAATTAATAATGGTATTGTGGCGTCGTTAACACGAGGGCCAGAACCGTTAGGTTGGTGAAAGTACGCTGCGGGGGAGGAAGGGGTTAAGCTTGAACATCCGGAGTTTGCGCTCTGGCGGTTGACTCATGTAGAGCCGCAGAGCCACGAAAATACCGTTGGCTGTAAACTCCGAGGATGCTAGCTAGCGTGCCTCAACCGGAAGCAGGCGAGCCAACCCAGAGAATCCAGAGTGGGGGCGTAAACCAAGGCTGGCCAGCGAGTCTCGCGCCAGCCGGCGGGCCTATCTATGGAACAGTGGTGGGGGTGTCAGCCTCAACTATTTAACGCGGCGCCATCTGCGCCCGCGTTCTCATTCAGTTTGCATCGGGAAGCTTGTACGTGTATGTACAAGGAGGGTGTAGGAGTGAGGGTGAGATGTCCGGAGAGTAAGGGCCAGACAATCTCACGTGCTGTAGGCACACGGTCGCCACGACCGGGTTAACTTTTGGCGTCAGGCCATGTGACGGTAATTGTCACGGGACAGAGGTCCGACGGCGCGCATCACGCGTGGCTTGTGTTTTCTGCGGTAAAGCAGTGTTCTGAAAGGAAAAGGTTGCCGGAGTGTTTTAAAATTAGCAATTCATTGTAACTTGTACATAATCTTCGAATATATTATTTTTATTTTGTTATTGAAATTTATTTCTTATTTCACTACGTCACAGTATCAACAGCACTGTACTGAACAAATAAAAAACTGATTTATTCTCCTTAATTTATTTTCTTCGCATACAAATGAGTAGGATTAGAGACAGATTATTTCATCATTTACTTGGCGATGGAGATTCTTAAGACTGAGGCATATATTATACAAACCCGACAGAATATTAACCTCCCAAACTGAAGATTTTTTTTCTGTTCGTCATTCATTTTCTTTCAGAGACTGCTATAAATGACAATATATAATTTTAATATTTATTTTTAACATTGTAGCAACAGGTACCTTTGCGCAAACTCAACTTTATCAGAATTTACTACAATAGCTTTATTATATTTTTAAATATAACAGCAATTTAAACAGTTCGCTTTATTCAATTTTAATTCAAAATTCTGTGTAATAAGGGTATTGCAGTTTTGAGAAAGGAAGAGAAAACGCATGAAAGTTTCTGGTTATCCTTGGGAAAGCGGGAATGTGTTAGGATTGTAATAAAAATCCAAAGTTTAATTTAGAACAATTAGGTTGAATACCTACGAAGAGATGAAACGACGAAAGATCATGTAAATATGAAAATTCAATCGCGCTCGATTGAATCTTAAGCTAATTGATTATTTGAAACGAACTACAGAGTTTTTAGAATTTATTTTTAATTACTTGTAAGGTTGCTCACAGCTGCATTAAACTATAATGAATATGTTTATATTATTAAGGGCCAAATTATTGATTTCAATATAGGTAGTATATCACACATTGATATGTGGGGTACAATAATCCATAATCGGTTCTCAGGGATGATTTACAATTGATTAGATGATAAAGTTTAGATGTAAATTTGTTTTGTGATGGCTTTTATTTCATTTCTATATCAAATTCGTATCAAGAAAGTCGTATACATTTTTGAGACATGTGGTTTGAAGTCCTAGGTATAATTTTCTCAGTGATCTGTAACAAGAAAGGAATGCTGGGGTCGAAGAGTGAAAGTTGTTGTTTGCAACTTTTCGACATTAACTTTAAATGAAGTTCTCTAGATGAGGAGTATTCGCAAAAGCATGTTTTAAGTTTGTTCAATGAAATGGATAATAAAAACCCGGGATCGTTTTGCAAGTATGCTACCGAAACAATAAGATAGCAAGACCTCTTAAGAGTTCGTTTGACAGTCGTAAATTTCGGTCAATAGTCATCGACGGAAATCGTATGTCTACTATTATACTCAGTAGAGTAACGAAATGAGTACGAGCCCGCCATTAAAACCTTTATCCGGACCCCTTTATAAAAGTTTATACAAATACGTGTAGTTTTAATACCATAAATAATAAAAATATCCTTTAACAAATTCATATTTGTCAGTCTATGATTACTACATAGGCAACCGCAAAACCTTACGATCGCAATTCTTACAATCGCAAAACCTTCAGCCTGAAAATTGGTCCTCTTGTACGTGGGCTCGTCCGCATTGAGGGCCTTTGCGGACTGTAACGTTACACCACTGATTATACTAGAGTATTGTATCCTTGCAGAAATGTTTGCTTGTTCAGGAACTCAAAGAAATCTTGCTGTCATGGTTATATGTAGTCCAATGGTCTGTTGCCACAGGAAAGAAAGAAAAAGTTTTTTTCTGCTGAATAAATGCAATATTTTATGTATGGAATGTTTTTCTCGCGTCATTTTATTAAAACCGGTGCTTCAAAAATAAATCAACCAGAACACTGAATTTGTATTCCACATCTAGAAACGAATCTCAGATAGGCTTCTAAAATACGTATCTAATTTACTAATCCTATAAAAGTAAAATAATTTGAAGAAAAAACACATTCGTCGTGGCTTCTGAAAGCTTAAATTAAACGCTGTATACTATTATTCAGATATTACAAACATGGTTAGATTCTGATGAATTTGTTTAATCAATTAATTGTTTTGGGTAAATTGTTGTTAGGTCATGAATGAATCACATAAAAAATCGTTTATTCCTGACCAATAATCCAGATCAATTTCCCCAAATCATTGAAGAGGTTAACATAATCAATTAACATTCCATTCCGTTCCTTCTGTCCACAGGTGATGCTGTTGGGAGATTCGGGAGTGGGCAAGACCTGCTTGCTCGTTCGCTTCCGGGACGGTCTCTTCCTCTCTGGGAACTTCATCTCGACCGTCGGCATCGACTTCCGGGTAGCGCGCAACTTCCTCTCCCCTTCCCTCGCCCTTCTCTCCTCTTCCAAGATGTCAAGGACACGACGGCCCCTCACCCTGAAGCATCTCTCGGGAAGCTTAATTGAAATGAAAGTACGACGAGAGGTTGGAAAATTAAGGAAATGAAAAAAATACTTGGACCGCAAAAGATCTACTGCTGGATTCTGATTTTCAGTAACATTAAATATTGAACTACCAGGAAAACTGCCTGTACTTAAAACGTGATAACAGTGATGCTGCACAATATTACGATGAGCCAATATAATGCCCCGCAAATCAGTGCATCTACTCTAAGATTCTTCGCTCCGAAAACTTGAATATTACATTGCGAACATGTTTGAGGGCATGTGCAGTTAAAAAAATGAATTTTTCTTCCAAATATTTTGCATATTAATGGATTCTACATTGACATTACATTTTAGTAGATAAAAACGATTCCATTTATTCGTAATTCCTTTGCATTGTAACAGAGAAAAATATTCGTTTCCTAAGAAGGCAATGCTTCTGAAATAATTGGCACTGCTCCAGATATACAATACAATACAGTTAGAAAAAAATTGTAGTGCGTTTTAGAATTATGTGTACAGTTGGAAGTCCCAAACACCATATGTGACTAAACTGCTTTTGTGAACTAAATGCCATGTTGAATGTTGTGGCAGATTGGTTTTAATATGGTAAAATACACCAATAAATACAAGTTAATATGTATTTAGACGTTTGTGGTATTAAGAGAAGCGCATGTTTTCTTATGAGCGATGAGCTCTTGCTCCAACAATTCCCCACAACGAGCAGAATGCTCGTTACTTGGAAGAGACATTGTGACGAGCGCGCCCTCTATTTTGTTTCAGAACAAGGTGGTGTCGGTTGACAACACCCGAGTGAAGCTCCAGATCTGGGACACAGCTGGCCAGGAACGCTTCCGGAGTGTCACACATGCCTACTACCGCGACGCACACGGTGAGCTGCCACAATTCATTCCGTAACAGCAAGAGATCTCACCTAGTACTCACAAGGGAATGCCGCGGTGTGACATGTCGAAACATGCCTTCATTTTTTTTTCATTGAATTTACATGCACTTCTGATACCACGATGCTCATTGCGATTGCCGATACATACTAACAATTACTTTTAAAAATTCCAAATTTGCCAACACTTACGTACTATTTTTCGTTTCTACCCAGAACTTGGACAGCTCTCGCAAGCCGAGCGGCGAGCGCGCGGGCGCTGAGGTTGGCGTTATAGAGGGCTGTTTCCTCAAGGTCAAATGACATTCGGTGGGAGCAGGCCAATTCCCAGTGCACTCAATACTTTTCTTATTGTAAAAGTACATTTTATTTGAGATCTTTTATTTCCTTACCAATGAAAGTTTGTTCATTTTTTCATTATGAATATCGTCAATATGCAGGGTTGGCCATTTTCACATCCGTGAGAATTCAGGATGTTTTTAATTGACTTGCAGTGCGCATCGGCACCCAAAAGTTTGATCGTGAGATTAATACGGCATGTGCTTTTGATGAAGAGAAGGATTTGGACAGGTTTCGACCTGTCACATTCCTTTGTCAGTATCTGTTTTTATATATATTTATAGTCGCATCGACAACTGAAGTCACTAGCGACTCAATAATTGTACACTGAATTAGCAAATAGTTAATACATTCCATTTGTTTTACATTGACATATTATATTATAAACGTGTACATACATTTCAAACAAACTAGGAGATATAGTGTATACCATGAAAGACACACTCATAATTTTTAGCAATTTCGCTGTAGAAAGATATTAACTTTGTGCGTTTTGTTTCATGTTGATAGCCTTACTACTCCTGTATGACGTCACAAACAAATTGAGCTTCGACAACATTCGCGCCTGGTTGGGCGAGATTCGCGAGTACGCGCAAGACGACGTTGTCATCATGTTACTGGGTGAGTTTTCGATGTGTCTGTGGAATACCAGATTTGCCATATTCTTCAAAGGAGATCTTGTAATGGGAGACTGTCATCATCATAATTGACATCCATCATTCATTCATTTATTCATTTATTTATTCATTTGTACGGACGGTGTATAAACCCTGTGGACTCAGGTACGAAACAATACAACACTGATATCCGTTAAACAATACCCAGGCAGTCCCACCAAATAGAGCGACCACCATATCTTCACAATATCGAAATGCAGTTTTCGCTCGACGATGCGGGATCATGGGGCAAGTAATACGCTGTAGAGATATTGTTTGAAATATTTTTAGTTTTCGAGGAATTTATTGATCTTTGATATTTTAAATAGAACCGTATATTTTTTCACTAGCAATAGATAGATCATAAAAAGAGGAATGCAACGATGTAATGTATGTTATTGTTTTGATAGTAGTTTGAGTATAAAATTATTCTTTCTGACTTGTGATTTTTAATTGAACGTGCAAAATGTCCTGTAACTGTCGTCTTGAGGGAAGGAGGCCTCGCGGCCTCTCCGTTCTCTCCGCGAGTCTCGCGCTGCGAAGGTCATCCTCATCCAAGGTGACAGTTGCGAAGGCTATTACAGAAAAGTTTGCACGTTTTATTTAAAATCACAAGTCAGAAAATATAATTTTATACTCCAACGATTATCATAACATTAACATATGATTCATTTCTCTTTTTGTGATCTACCCATTGCTAGTGAGAAAAATACATGGTTCCATTTAAAAGATGATTAAATTTCTCGTAAACTAAAAACACTTCAAAAAATATCGCTGCATCATATTACTTGACCCATGATTCCGAATTGTTGAGCGAAAACTGCATTTCGACATTGTTTACCGTTCAGAAGTTATGGTGGCTCTCGGTGTGACTCCCGGTATACAACATACGTTGAACCGATGAGCATGGAATCTGGTAGTAAATTGCCTGGTTAAATTGCCCGAGAAATTTATCAGTAAAATCAATACTTTAGAGAAGCAATCAATGAGCGACATTACTCATAAAATATTTCTAACTCGTCAAGTACGGAGGAGAAGAGATGATTAAATTATTATTATTGCTATTGATATTATTACGAAATTTTGTTTTAGATTAATTACCGTTGAATGAAGTAGTTATTGCCTGGAAACCAAACATTTGAATTTGTAATTTTGGACAGGTGCTGAGATAGTTCCTTGTTTCACTTTCTGACAGTTACTAATTTTGACGCCAATATATAAATAAATAGATTACTTGTAATTTCCGACTAATCAGTAACAGGACACAACCGCAAAATAATTTTCGGAATTGATTGGTTGTTTATAGAACCATGGTTAAAATCGATCTCCGGTTACCCCAGCTAAAATTAGAGTACAAGCAGAACCATTACGATTACGTGCGAGAAAAGGAAGAATTTCACAAAAGTTACCACAGACAAGTTCAATATATGCACTTATACGGAAAATCGCCCCCTCCCCCTAAAAATTGGTTTCACGTCATTCAGTACTTATTCTCTAATACAAATGAAAGATTTACAAAATCTGGAACAAAATTTACTATTCACAGTGAACACAATTTAAATATATTTAAACATGTTACTGAAAATGTAAGTGAAATGTTCTATATTTACCAAAATTTGAACATACATGTTGCAGTAGATTATAACAGGAAATTTAGTAATTTCCCTTAGTTTAAAAACATAATTCATCACATAAAATCATCACTGAAATATTTTTGTGAAGATATGCATGTTTCAAACGATTGCTGGATATGGCGTTTATACATATTCATTGATCATTGGATTTTAAAAAAACTAAAACTTCGAACTTGAAAAACTAGCTCGTTTTTCTATCTAATCTTACTCTCACACACTTACTCGCATTGGACTAGACCATGACCTAGAAGAAGCTTAGTTGTGGTAACGAAGTAGTGAATAAAAAATTAGTAATTAACGATCTAATTAACCGTAGACATCAAGTCCTCAGTTACGTTTAAAATACCTATGCAGTGACAGCAGACTTACCCACTCTTATACGAGTCATCATAACCTGTTATAACACCAATGTTCGTTCACAGCACTTATTGGTGCTGTGTAGAGGTTGGCGTTTTAAAGAAGTTTTTCTGAAACTATTTTGTAGCGCAAAAGTGCGTAAATATATTTAGTTAATTTGATTATGTCCTCTTTTGATATAAAAAGCGAAATAAGATCGTTGAAATAAAAGTTCTATTTAAGACTACAAGAAAGTATTTTTCAATAGCACAGCACGTCGATCTTGACTACAGAACATGTTTAATCATTTTTGTATGTCCAATGTTATTGGCAGTTACATTTTTATTTGACTTGTATTCATTTGTGTATAGTAAAATTTAATAAACACACCAAAACACAATTTGGTACATCATTTCAGCTCCGCAATTTACCCCCATAATAAAGAAACATAATTTGAAACATCTGCTGTTTAGCAGTAGGGTTTTTTTTCGTTGTTCACGATTCTCCTTTATAGTCAAATTCGTTCGCATGTTCATAGTGTACACTCTACCAGGAGGTCCCAACGACTGCTTACTTACATTTCTTAACGCAGGCTTGTCAAGGTCGTGAGCGGGCTGACTCCCATCAGAATTCACAGAGCGAGGTCAGAAGGAAGGAGATACTACCTCTAGTTCAATTTGTGTTGTTTTGCGGGCACAATGGTTTGCTCTATGAGTATATCATGGCTGTCGTGTGAACTATCATAATGAAATTATTGTTAAAAATAAACAATTTTTTGTTTTCCTTCATTATAAATTACCTTTTCTCACAAGAAATCGTTTATAAAAGGTCATCTTACGGCACAGATCACAAGCGTCATCACACATTCAGCCAATCGCAGGGAGAGAATCGTGGGGAGGAAATGGTAAACGTAACAACTGACCCTCGTTTCCCCGTTCTTGCCCAATACCGGTGAAGCACAATAGTGTTGAGTACCAAACTAATTTTGATTGTCCTATACATTTATAATGATGTTACGCAAAAAATAGCGTATGCAACTCGTTTATAATGTTGCTTTATTGCATTCGTACAAAGTTGAAAACTCACTCCTAACGTCACTCGTTTCCAAAACATTTACTCACGCAATAAAGCTTAACATTATAAACTAGTTCCGCAAACAGCTATTCCAACACATTCCTTCGCTTGCCCAAACCATGAGGATTGTCGAGAGGAGTTGAGGTTGAGCGCGCGCTGCGGTGCGATGCAGGCAACAAGGCGGACTGCGGCGGCGAGCGGGTGGTGCGCAAGGAGGACGGGGAGCGGCTGGCGCGCGAGTACAACGTGGCCTTCATGGAGACCTCCGCCAAGACGGGCCTCAACGTGGAGCTGTCCTTCATGGCGGTCGCCAGGTGACAGTCAGCGCTTGCGACGCAGAATTAGGCTAGGATAAATCGTTGTAGAATTCGTAGTTAAAATAATCTTAGTTATTTAGTTAAAATAATCTTAGTTATTTAGTTAAAATAATCTTAGTTATTTCGTTAATAATCTTAGTTATTTCGTTAATAATCTTAGCTAATTCTTAGTTAAATAACACTAGGATTAATCCTAGTATAGTTCTTAACCGTGCATTTGAAGTAAATCAGCTATTGCGGTTTCATCCAATCGGGAGATCATGTGTCGCCACAGTGACAACACTGTTCGGAAGTACAAGCTCCTGATTGAATGAAACTGTCATCAGCTGATTTACTTCAAATGTACGGTTAAATAAATCTTAGTATAGGGCCAGATGGCCCGGCATTACGCGCTGCAGAGACCAGATCGCGCAAAAGCATCAACTGAATCAGAATAAAGCGCCGAATAAACTACGGTTTCTGTTAGCACGGCACAGTGCTGGGTCAAGAGAGTGTACACTATTTTTTGGGAGAAAACATGTTGTTTTTGTTATGTTTTTACTTTCGCTCAAACATCATATCGAATATTCTTAGTTGTCATCGAATAGCGCACACGGTTCTGTGTTTTGGTGAGGGTGAGGCTCAACAAATCAGTTAGAAGAAAGTCTTTAACTGTCTAAAATTAAAAATGTTACACTTTGGCGTGATTACAGAAATCGGTTAGACCGTATCGTTTTGTTCTCTGCGATGTTTGCTATAAAAAATGTGTATATTTGATAAAAATAGGTTTGATATATTAGTAACTCATTTTTAAAAGATCAATAATAATTTTATTGTAACCCAAATAGTGTGAAAAATAATCAGTTTTACGTATCAAACATTTTAATTATGATTTTTATTGGATCTAAATACTTGATTTACTACCCTATTTATGTAAGTTTACTTGTAATTTAAATTAGTAATAGTTATTTAAGATAAGTGGTACAAGTGACATTTTGTTTTGTGAATAGAAAAGGTTGCGACACAATACAAATAGGCCAGGTGGCCCAATTCTACGAACACAATAAAATCACTTTTACCACATACACCACACCCGATTTTTTAGACAGCCTTACTGTCTATCATTTTATTTTAATTCAAGTACCCAAATCACTTAACGATAGCCGGCCCATAAGGGCCGATGTTGCTGATGCGGTCAGACGAAAGATTCTGTTTTCTTTGTTACATTTCCAAATTTTTCTGAACACTTGAAAATCATCCCTCTTTTAGCTCTAGTGCCAAAAATTTAATTTTTATACAGCTATGCATGCCCTGGAAGAACCCCTTTTATTAATAACTGTTTAAAAATTATATGAAAACACAATTTTATGAATGTATGTGTCTACACTCGATGTATGGAAGGTTAATATCGATATTTCCATAACAAAACGCGTACTCGTACGTTAAAATAACTCATTAATTATACTCAAATATGTCAGTAAAAATACTCATTTTTATTTTCTTGTAGCTTGTGAACGGTATTGTAAGACACCTCACGATCCGTCAAAATAGTGAAGGTTGTTTTATGATAAGGATTAAGTTAGGAGAAGGGTTATTTTAAGAGAAAAAATATCTAATCTCCAAACTATTAAGTTCAGCACATTTGAATTTTATTTTTTTCGAAGCGAAGCGAGTGTTTAAAAACGTCCCCAACATCCGGAGCACGTCGCAGTCTCTCACTGCTTGGCGTCGCGTGGGGTCGCAGCCGGGGGCGCGCCAAAGTAACTGCATCAACTGATCGGCGGCAGTACCGCCTCGCTCGCTGCGCCCACTCACGCTCGTTTTTTCTGATCCGTCAGAAGTTCGTCGTCGACAGCGCCTCTCCTCTGAGCGCGCCCTGAGACCCCTTACACCCCCTCCCGACCCCCATTCCCCGCCCCCCCGCATCCGATCGATCTGCTCTTCCTGAGGCACGCGAGGGTGGCTAAAAGCGGCACCCGCCCCCGCCGCCCCCACCGCCAGCTAGAGCGGGGCCTGGGGACGAGGCTCGGGGGCGGGGACGGGGTCGTGGCGGGGACAAGCGCGGCCAACAGCCCAGGAAGCCCCGAGGCGTGCGCGCCCGCCCTGTGGTTATGACGTGCCTGCACCCAGTTTGTTCCCAAAGTGATGAAAGAACTGGGAGGCTGTGTTCAGTGGGAATGTTCTGCGGGAGGCGGATGAAGAACCGAGATCCGTACAAGTCGACTCGTTCTATCGGTGTTCGTTGGGTTATGCCGACAACACGGTCAAGAGAGAGGGAGAGGGAGGGAAGGAGGAGAAACAGGTTGATGAAGATGGAGAATGATCAACGTTTAAAGATATGCTGATACATATAGGAACAATGCGATCCACTTGTACGGCATCAGGGACATACAAAACGTCGCCGTTGTTTGCCGCAGGTGTACAATATTTTTTCTGTACTAAGTAAGCAGAATGCGAGAAAGGTAATAAGAGAGATATTTTGGGCATTTTTTAATTTTTTGTGGAGCCAACATTTCTCAATTTGACGAACCTTAAATTAAAATTTATCACGCCAAAAAAATCGTATAAAACCGGTGAAAACACAATTCAGATTTTTTTCTAAACGGGATTGACTGGAGTAACCTACAATCCAAGGATGATAATGAATTGATAGCGTACATTTTATAGAAGACATCACTAACTGGTATTTTACCAAAATATTTACTTATCCTCTCCTATGAACTCACACTTTCTAATTAAATTTAGTATGCGATGTGAGAATTTATATTCAGTATCCATACTAGGGATGCGTCTTAAAACATATGTATATTAAACTCGCGATGTGATGCGATGCGATGGTTTTTACTTACCGGTGCTTTGTACTCGATTTTTTTGTTGGTTTTTTGTGTTTTCGGTTTTTTGTCATTGCAAATGAAAATGTTCCGTAGTCACTGTTTAGTTAGAGTTAAAATACGAAATAACAACTGACTGTGGCACTGTCAGTTTTTTGTGCTCTAATGAAACAAACGCTGCTTGTACTACAGCAGTGCTAAAAAATCGCAGCACCTAAAGAAAATGGGCATTATATATTTTCTAATCTAATCTGCTCTCAAAAATTGTAAAGTTATTAGAAGAAATTGGTAATCATATATTTTATGTTAATTGTAAACAATTATTAGAAGAAATTGTTAATCATGTATTTTATGTTAATTATATGCTGTTTTTGATTTCCTTACCTTCATAACTCGCTCGATTTTTGCAAACAAAGTGGTGTACTTTTAGGATTATATTGCTGATTACAACTGCGAGAAAGGTGATACGTTTTTTTTGAGCCCTACTGTACTTTTATCGAGCAGACTATCTATCGTCCGAGATGATCCCGATGCCTTCCTAGTATTTCCTATTTCGCACATTCAGAGGCGGTCAAAGCACGCGCCCTGAACGTGGGGGCGTTCCCCTTCTCCGACGAAATGAGGACTCATCATTTGAGATGACCATGGGTGCACAGGCCAAGTTCTGTTCATTGTTATCATTTTTTCCTTTGTTTTCAGTTAAATCTTAATTTTAATTTTAAAAACATGGATTTTTTGTAGATGTATTATTCATCCAAACATCCACGTTTTAATTTTGAACATTGATGTTTTGTGATCGATGTCGCATCACTAATACACGCCTACACGATACCCAGGGAACACCACGTTTAAATACTAGCACATACCGACTTGATTATAGTTTTCATACGTCCCTAGAAAACTATTTTAATCTCGATGTTTACAGATTACACTATTCACTCTTATTCTGTTCCTTAACAGTCTTGCTCTTTAAATTTTCATAAGCTCTGGACCATAATCGCCCTAGAAGTTCGGAAAGAACACTTTCACCTTCCTTCAAATATTCCGCTCAATATTGAATTGAATTGAATTGAATTGAGTTTGCCTTATTTTACGTGGCGAGACTCGGGCCATCAGGCCCGCTCTTCCGTCTGACCACGCAATTTCGCTACGCTCCTTTCACCAACTAGGAGAGAAAGGAGGTATTTCTTGGGCGAGAAACAGGCGATTTTGAATTTAGCTCAGAGGCGTCATTTAGGCTTGAGGATCTTTTACATGCAAGTAAATCTACGAACATGGGACAGCCGGCTTTACTTCCCCTCCGAAGGAAGGCGTACGAAGGATTTTTTCGCCCTTAAAAATCCACGGCTTCGATCGGGTTTGAACCCCCAATTTGGGTACAACAGTCCAGTACGCTAACCGTTACACCATTGCCGCCAATATGGTGATGGTACACGCTTTCCGAACAAAATTGCCGGCATAAAGTTCTCCCTCAGTCGTTCGTCCCAGTCCTGATATCTTGCGAATATTACGGCTGCTGACGTCGCCGGTCTCCGAAGTAAAGGGAGGGGTGGGGTGAGTAACCACAGACTTGCAAGGGCTCCGGTTCGTTCGCTTTCCCTGTAGTTAAGACTCGTGCACTTCCCTACTCTATCTTTTCCTTTTCAAGATCAAAGGACTGGAAAGTTATGTGAAACAAATTACATAGTTCCTTCCTAAAGTACGAACGGTTCAAAACTAGCCATTGAGCTCGGCTCTTGTTTCGTGTCGTCGAATTTAAACGGAAGTATTTATTTAAGTAATAATGCAACTTGTTAACCAGTATTTTTTCGGAAATGGAAGGTGACATCTCGGGTGGAAATAATCAATAATGAATGCAATGTTGTAGGAGTTTATTCCTAACTTCTCTCAGAGATACAGTTGAGATCTTAATAACATTCATATATCGTATACTTGCGTACTAAAATGTATTTACAAACCTAATCGCATTCAGCTTTTATTACTCGCTTTCCTAGAATAATCTTAAGTTACATATATTGTATACTAGTACTGTATCTGTCCGCTTTATTTACAATCTTTTATTTACTTTACTTTTAGTATCCATGTTTTTTTTACGCCTTCATTTATAATTTTCCAATAAACTTATTTCCCTCATGTTACTCATCCCTGTCCTATTCTTATTTCCACAATTTCCTTGATCTTTCTCTTCCCTCCTCGTCATCCTGTAGAATCAACTTCAGTCTCTTTGTAATCTCTCTTCCTTTTACCATGACCTCCTACTCCCTTCCATTACATGCTCTCACGTCTCTTTCTCCCTCTTACAAGTCTTACATTTTCTTTCCCTCGTCAACCTGTGCAGTACTTCCTACGTCTAACCTCATTATCTAATATTTCATACCCTACTTTTTACCTTTCCCATTCCATTTAAGTTTTTTGGTCCATTACAGACTATTACTTCTTTGTACGAGTACATCCCATCAAATATAATTATTGAATCTCTGTAATCATACCTACTATAAATAACCTCTAAACATTTCTATCCCATCTGCCGCATAGCCTCTTTCTGTAAAGAAATCTTGTCTTTCATCTTCCCGTACTGATCACTCTTCTAATCACGCTCATTTTTATTTCTTCTCAGCAGCATCTTTCTCTGTCCCCCTTCTAGAACCTCCTCATATCTTATCGTTATATCTCTTTCTTTCTCTTTCCCCCTTATTTGTTCCTATTCTCACCATGTAGCGGGACGTATTCTTTTCCAATTCCAAACACCACCTTTGAAATCCACCCTTCATCCACTTTCCTTCGTTCCCTCCATCCCCGAATCTCTGCTTCCCGCGTCAAAACTCTTCTCACCAGACCATCAGCAATTTGCGTCTCTGTCACAGTATTAAATTTCATCTTGATTATCCCACACACTTTTTTCATAACCATCACACTCTTTCTTGTTAGATCTTCGATCTGTCCGTTACCTCTCGTTATTTTATGTGACATCCCACATATTTATATTTCTTAATCATTTTCCATAACCATTCCTCAACTAATTATATTCCTTAAACTGCCATGTTGGACACTTTCCGTTGCCATTTCCCTTTAAATGTTCCACACCACCTTTACTACAAATTATCTTGCTCACCTGCTACTCGCTATGAGTACTATCTTGCCATCATCCAGAAATTTTTCTAATTTTTTTAACACTATTCATGACTCTCTCGCCTCTTGCCATAATCACAATATAATCTGCATGTGTTAGAGACCTAATCGTTCTCCTTCCTATAACTGCATTCCCCTCTTGCCCTTTTCCGAATACTCTTCTAATCCCGTTAAATATCCATTAAAGAACATGGGGTTCAGGACAATTGTTAGTTCAAAAAACCTTGACTTCTAATTCTCCCTCTCTCGTATGCATATTGTTTGTCAGTAGATATCTCTCCCTCCACCTATCAATGAAACTCACTCTTATTCCCAATTTATCAAAAATCTCCCATATTTTCTTAAATTGGTAATATAATTTTATAGTTGAGTTATAGGTAAGTTGAGGAATTAGAAAAATATAATTAAGGATAACCTATTGACAATATATTGTGTTAATTAATTGAACTAAGTTCTAAACAGTTATAAATATCTATTGGTAGCAATATATTATAGCGTTCCAAAACTGTACCACTTAACTGTTTCAAGCAATAAGACGTATGAAGATTGTTCTCAACTTATTGTACTAATGTGACTTAATATCTTGAACTGTATTCCACTTACACTGCCACAAAACATCGGAGACAGCATAAGTCGGCGTGAAGATACTTGGTTTCCACTGAAAATTCAGAAAGAGAGCTTTTGAACCCTCTTCACGTGCCACGGTAAATTGAATTCGAACTTCTCGAAAGAGAATTTCAAGCACCCTTCGAAGTACCAGCAAAGTAAGTACGCTAGGTCACCCTCGTGACGTTTTGACAACTCTTGTCTCGCGGGTTCTACTTCGTGACGAAACGATGCAGAGTGTTTACGCATGCCAGAAGCAACCCTCTTGAAAGTTGAGCGCGTTGGCGCCGCCTGGGCTGGCCCTGGAGGATGCGGTGTGTTGTTGCAGGGAGCTGAAGTGCCGGCAGACGGGCGAGCGCTCGGGACCGGACGGCGACCGCTTCAACGTGCAGGAGTATGTGCGGGAGCAGGCGCAGCGGGGCTCGTGCCCGCCCTGCGGCACCTGAGGGCGAGCCTCAAGCTGGCCGCAGGTAAGGCATTCGATTGATTGGTTGGTTGATTGATTGGTTGGTTGATTGGTTGGTTGGTTGGTTGATTAGTTGATTGATTGGTTGGTTGATTGGTTGATTGATTGGTTATTGGTTGATTGGATGATTGATTGGTTAATTGGTTGGATGATTGGTTAATTGATTGGTTGGTTCATTGATTGGAGTTTCTGAAAGCGTTAACTGCTAAGGTCAATAATCCCGTAGGTGTAGTGCATGTTTTACTGTGCTGGGTGGCAGTGATCGTCCCCTGCCGCATGCCGAGATCCGGCGCTGACCTACGTCGGCTTGCGGAGATTTTCCTCAACCAGATGTCCCTTCCACCAGCGTGGTGGCACCGACCCACCACGGACTAGCTCTAAGCTCTCCCGACGCTCTCCCGACGTGTGTGGTGGTGTAGTGAATGCGAGTGTGAGTGCATGTGGGTGTAAGTAAGGGGTGAACAAAAGACAAGGAAGAGGAAGGAAAGATCGTGCGCGACCCAAAGTCCGTTTATTAGGATACTGCTCCGGCATTCGCCTGGTGTTGATCGGAGATACCACGGAAAACTATTCACAAGAGCAGCCGGCCGCTAGAATTCTCCTCCAGACAGTGTCAAAAATCCAGCGCGTGACATCTGTCGATTGCCTGAACCACGTTTGCCAGCAGGTGCCCTGAAAATTGGGGTACGATAACAATAGCAATTTAATAATAAAATAATAATAATAAAATAATAATAATAATAATAATAATAATAATAATAATAATAATAATAATAATAATAATAATAAACTAGCTGGGCCGAAACGGACATTCCGCTCTTTTAAAGCATTGTTCTGAAAGTGAATCTAGCTTTTTACTGAAACCCGCCTTTGACGTTATATCACTATGAAACAATGAAGTTAATTATTCATGTACTTAGGGATTCTGAACCCATGCCACGGGATGGATGTATCCTGCAGAGTCAAATCTACAAAACATGTTAAAACACGAAAAGGTTTCATTTTGTAAGACGCGCCTATTCCCATTTGGGAACAACAAACGCACACGTGTGTTGCGGGTTTGTATCTGCGCCTACCATAGTTGGTACGAATCTTGGAATTGCAAATTGTATCTTTAAAATTTAAAAATTTTGTATGATCTAATTCCCGCAGATACTTTTTTATATTTTTTGTTACGTCGCAAACTGAATATCTACACAACTAGCGAGTGTCCTGGAATTCTGTCAGCAGGCTGACTGTGTAAGGTTTTGACGGCCTAAAATCAGCCTTCATGCGTGTATTTTGCTAATGTGCTTTCCCGCCTGAGATATGGCATAATATTCTGAGGGAAGCTCATCATGTAGTACCCATACTTTTCGATTGCAAAAGAAAATTATTCGAATAATAAGAAAAATGACATTCACGTGATCCCTGCAAGCCTCTCTTCATTGAGCTTAGAATCTTACCATTGCCTTGCCTATTAATTTAAGAATCTCTAATATTTGTCAAAACTGGCTTACTAAATGGCGGGAACATATTTTCATGCAATACTGATTTTTATAATTACAACACACGTTGTAGAAATTACGTCCATCAAGTGTCATTATCAACAGCTTACTACCAGAAATCCATATACAATACATGTACATTACTTTACAACGGATTGCCAGATGAGATTAAACAATTGATTTTTTTTAAAAAGAATTAATATGCTTGTAACAAATAATGTACTTCAGCTTTTGGGTGAATGACCCCCATCTCAATCAGGTTTTTGCCCAGTTTTCCTGAAACATTGAGTAAATGCTGAGATGGCCTCTTGATTTGCTTCTGGACGTAAATGTAGCTACACTATGGTTTTGTTAAACGCACGTTTTGTTGAAATCTCCTTTTGCTTGTAGTTGGAATATAGGTAAGGCTGAGTTACTATTTTGTTAGCAATGGAGAAAAACCAAACCTGCAGTTCGTTACTGATGCGAATTAGTTTTCCATAACTCGGGAACAAAAATGTCTAGTCTTTTCAAATGTTGCTTATCTCGCGCTTTTTTTAAATTTTACATTTATTAATTTATATATCTTTAACTTCTACTCATCTTTCAACTATTTGTAGTTAAAATGATTGGAAGGGATTCTTGAATTCAAGAACACGTGTGCAGATGATCTTCTCCCCCATACGTCACATACAGTTTTTACTGATTTTTGTCTAAATAAATCTAAATTTAAATCTAAATTAGGCGCCGTCACGGTCACGCGCCGGGACAGGACTTTCTTTTTTCTTTGAATCCGAAAACGATATTTTCGTCGGCAATACTTAAAACTATCGCGAGAGCTGTAACTCATATTAAGTACAACCTTTGCTGCATAAACGAAGCGTTTCTTGCCGAAAAGGCATTAAAAATATTCGTTTATTGGAGAATTTAGTGGAGAATACGATATCATTTTTTTATTTTTCGGCATTATAAACGACCTTTACAAAGTTACAAAGAATTGTTCATAAAAGGTCAGCGTGCTGCATAGATTACGACGTACTTGCCGTTTATTACATGAATTGTGTCATCACACATACAGCCAATCGCTGTGAGATAATCGTGTAGAAATAGTGGTAAACCAGCAGTTCATCGTTTTTCCACACAGATGACACTCATAACGTCGTAATAAAGTTGTTTCCCAAATTAACTTTGATTCTTTTAAAAATTTGTAATGGTGTTATAAAAAAGTGAATATGCAACTCGTTTAAATTTTGCTTTATTGCATTCATACAAATTTGAAAGCTTGCTCCTAAAGTTGCTCGTTTTCAAAACATGTACTTAGGCAATAAAGCTTAACATTATGAACTGATGCATAAACTATTTTACCACCTGAAATAACTCACCCTGTTATTAAGGCTAAATGTCCCGACAATAGTACAATTTGTAGCCACCACGTGGCAGCACCAAAATAAGTAAAATTTACTTTACCTAAAACGTCTGATCCAATGGTCCGATTTTCGATTTGTAAACGGCATTTGACGCATTTTTAAAATAAAATTTAAGCTACGATGACCTTTTCCCAAAAATCTAGCAAAAACGCGAATTTGAAATTAGTTCTTAAACTTCCGAGAACAAATTTAAAAATGTAGCCTTATAGCGCGATGGCGACATGCTTCCTGAATCCAACGCCGTGACAATCATGCAAATCGGACGAATAGAAGCGTCGTAAAGTGAAATTTACGAAAACACCACGCCCCCCTTCCCCTTCTGCGCCGTTGCGTCACCCACCCGCCCGTTGTTGGTCCTCTGTCAGCGCGGTGGCACGGCCAGGCCCGGCGGTTAAAGCGGTACTACGTCTAAGATTAATTTTTAGCTCTGCAAATAATTCAGCAATTAAAAAATAACAGCATCCTTTTTCAGCTTTATGGGTACTGGCCTGCGATGACGCAGTTATGCTCGTATTAACAAATAACAGAGTTGACACCCTTATGATGTTTCTCGTCTACTCCAAGGATGGGTTCATGACCTGTTCTGGCTTCTACCAATTTCATTTCTATAACGATCTGTCTCTGTGTCTTCTACCTCGCGTTCTACACTTAAACGCTTGCTTTAGAATGCGTGTCTGTCCCATGTATCGAAGTCATTCCTCCCTTCACTCCCTGAAGTCAGAAAGATAGTATTTTGCCATTGATTGCTTGAACAATTAATTTTCATCTTATTTCGCGTCGCGCTTCTGGCCTGTAGTCCTATGCCGAGAGAGACAACTCGCATAGTCGAGGCTTGCGAGCACAACCGCATGGGTGGACAAATGAGCATCAGCACGAAGACTTCATACGTTATGGAATCCCGCCGAGCGATTTTCGCCGCTAACTTATATACCGCTAGTTCACGTGACAGTGCCTCCCGCGCTGGAGAATGGCCGGTCGGCAAACACATTCGTTAATTTGTTTTGGCAGTGTACAACGAATTCCGCTGGCTAGGTGCATTCCGAGACCTGCGCCCAGACTAACACCCGCACTCGGGCACTTGAACCGCAGCACATACACTTGGCCCGAGCTTCCCAACCGTTTATTCTGTGTACATACCGTGTCATTATATAACTATTCAATTATAATTGAATAAAAATATAGGAATATTTTGTTTCTCTACGAAAATCTCAATGTGTGTTTGTGTGAGTGTGTGTGTGTGTTATTTGCCTGTAATAGATCGAAAATGAAAACTGTAATAATTAATTGCATCCATTACTTTCCGAGATCAAATCGTTCAAAGAGAAATATCAAGATTATGGGAACATAAACCATGGAACTCTACAATATACCGATGACGCAGCAATCCTGGTGCCAGCGTGATTATCCCTTCTCCCTTGCGCTCGAGCAAGGAGTATATTTTCTGGAACTTTTGAATTTTTTCATCTAGATCTACCTCTGTTAAACAGGTTATATTATTTTAAAAATGTTTAAAATGACCAACTGGCCACATGTCATACTTTTCCAGAAGTGCGTATAATGTTTTTTCCGTAAATGCCGTCACTTTGGTCTTTGTATTTGAAATGTGTAAATAATATCCTTTGTGATTTTGATAAAATTAAAAAACAGACTTTGTAAATGATCTTATCTGTTATGATCAAAGTTATATTTGTATGAAAGTTCATAAATATCACGCAATCACGTTTCGGTCATTTAGGAATATGCGTACATTTTTCCAGCATTTTATCTTCAGATGCAAAAAGACGAACAACAGTGAGAACTGTTGGGTTGCTATAAATAATCTAGTGACTACATGATAGTTACCATATTGTAAAGTAAATGAGAAACGAAATAAAAGAAAGTTTATTATTCTATCTAAAGATGAAAAAGAATTCGTGCACACACACAGGGAGTGACTGACTGACAGACGGACGGAGTGACCGACGGACGGGTTCACTGACGGATTGACGGATGGATGGACGGACTGACGGATGGATGGACGGACAGACGGATGGATGGACGGACGGACTGACGGAGGGATGGACGGACTGACGGATGGTCGGACTGACGGATGGATGGACGGCTCGACTTGG